TAGCTGTAATACACTGCTTCCTCACAGTCCAGATTGAATTCTTTCTTCTTTTGGCTAAATGTCCTCAGTTCCTTCAATCTCTCCTTATATAGCATGGATCCAAGGACACTTATTATCCTGGTCAAGCTCTGCTAGACACTCTATCAATATCTTTTCAAAATTGTGATGTCTAGAATGGAACACAAAACTCTAGATTTGTTCTGACCAGGGAGCCATACAGAAGGTGTATCTTATTACTAGAGATTATTCTTCTTTTTATGTCACTCAAGATCACATTAGTTTTTTTGGCTGCCATACTATACTACATGCTCATATTGACCTTGCAGTCCATTAAATCCCTCAGATCGTTTTCAGGCACACTACTGTCTAACCAAGTCTCCCTCATTTTGCATTTGAAATTGTTTTTTTTAAAACTCCAAAACAAAGGGAGAGGAATAAGGACATGACATTAACTGAGCATGACCAAGGGAGTAACAAGTAACGTTATTTGTAAAAATAATGAGAATGTATGAAACATTCTTCTATTTAGACAAAACTTTCTTCCCTTTGCTGGCTCTCTTTATAATAAGAACATGACTAGTGACAGCTTTCACTTCCTTCAGTGGTGTGTCCTCTCACTTGTCACTGGAAATCTATGTGCAAATGCACTGGCCAGATTATGTATGGAGTGCTTTTTTTCCAGTTTGGGACAACATATTTTAGGAAGGGCACAGATAATATGAATCCAGAAGAGACTGACTAGGAGGGTTTCAGTAGTAGAGAACATGTCATATAAGTGTATTCATTCTCTCTTCTGTCTGGGTCATTTCACCCACTCAACTTGTACTCACACTGTATCAAGTTGTGAGTTCCCAGAAGGAGTGGCCACTGCTACAACTAACTGTCAAGGTTCTAAGGGTAACCCTGGTAGGTTGGCTACTTTCCTACTACTGTATACTATAGCTCCTGAGCCCCCACTGGTGTGTTCTCCATTGAACCAATCAGTCAGTGTGAACTCCCTTAACACTTAAATAGAAATATTTACTAAATAAACAGAAGGAGAGCAACAATAATTGTACCATAACATTCTATCTTCAGACTGGGGATGTAGTTTCCCACTAATTTATATAGTGTCTGTTGTGGATAGTGGGCATAGACTTGTAAAACTATAGCAAAGAGGCACATTTGTAGGGGTCAATTCCAAACTCTGGATTGTGGGTCTTCATGCTTCCAGTTTTTCCTTGGGAAGACACTACACAAAAACTTACTAGTGGCACAAGGCTACTATACTACAGGCTGCTTCCACTCACGTGCTTGTCTTCTGGACCTCTTTACTTTCTTAATGTTGGAGGACACTTTTCTGCTGGATGCCACTCTTCTGGGTTGCTGAAGTAGTGTGAGGCTCTTTCCCAAAAAGCATCAAGCTTAAGCCTGGAGAATGCAGAGCTTTTGTAGATCTGTCTCCTTGATTGAGCTCTGAGATGTTTCCATCTTGCAGGCAGCAGGTGGTAGTGAGGGTCAGCCTTGTCAGCTTTTCTAAGCAACAGACAGCAGTGCAAGCACTCAGATCTTATCTAAGGTCAGACTGTAAATTTCTCCTGAGATGAACTCTGATCTGGGCTCAGTTAGCTCGTAATTCTTAGAGCTCTGAGCTCTTAGATCAGCTCCCTGACCAGTCAAAATCAGGGTATCTTTATTGACATGACTCACTTTTATTTCATAGTAAGAAACCAAAATCCACATCTCTGCTACCCATACCATAACTAGGCAATATACACTTATTCCATAGTTGCTAGTGACCAGTTCTAGTGATCAGAATTTCCCAACCATTAACTTCAAAGTGGTCAAGTCGGCCACATCACATGAGATTCTGGGAAACTGGCCTCTTTAATCATATTGACTCTGAGTAAGTGCCTTTTCTTTGAGGTGTTAAATTTCTAATGTTGCTCACATAACTGTCTTTGCTTGTGTGTAATGGACCACACTTGTGGACTTCCCATGTCTACCCAAGGGGTGATGGGAATGTCTTTTCAGGCCTCATTGTTGAAGCCATGTTTGTTCTTTATAATTTTTCAATTTCACCTTTTATGTTTGCCATTTTGTTTAGAGGCAGATAGGTGGTTAGAGCACTGGGAATGGAATCAGGAAGACCTGAATTCAGATCTCGTCTCAGGCACTTCCTGGGAAATTCAGCTCATCTCCATCTGCCTCAGTCTCTTTATTTGTAAAATGAGAACAGTAATCATATCTACTTCATGGGATTATTGTGAGGATCAAATGAGATAATGTTTGTAAACAACTTAGCATATAGGAGGCACTTAATAAGTGTGTATTTCCCCTTCTCTATTTTTTAAAAACATGATTTTTTTGCCCTGTTTTTAATCAGATTAGCTAAAGGTTACCAGTTTTATCAGTCTTTTAAAGAACCAGATTTTAGTTTTATCATTTCTATTTTTGTTTCCAATTTATCTATTTCTACTCCAATTTTTAATATCACTTCCTTTGCATTTGTCCATTTGTTGGCTTTTAATTTTTAAAATGCATATTCCCTAACCAATGGATATCTATTCTGCTATCATAAAAAGTTGCTATAAATATTTTGGTATGTATAGGCACTTTATGCCTCTCAATGGTCTTCTTGGGATATAAGCCTAGTTATGAAACATCTGGGTCAAAGAGTAGGGTCATTTTATTTTTTTTTTGCATGATTTCAAATAGTTTTCCAAAATGGTTGTACATGTTCGCAGTTCCACCAACAATGCATTACTATGTTTACCTTCCTCCCCAACATTGGCCATTCTTCTCTTTTGTCATATTTGCTGTATTTTGTCATCTACATGATCTGATGCAGTGAAGTCAGCAGAGCCAAGAAAACAATCTGCATAATGACGGGAACAATGTAAATGAAAAGAACAGTCTTACACACAAAAATTGAAAATGGATGTTGAGAAATGATGAAGAACAAGCATGGCTCAAGAGAAGAGATAGGAGAAGACACAGTCACTTCACCCTTTTGAAATGGTGGGAAGTCCACAAAGGTTTCACAATGCACAGATTTTCAAACCTTTTTAATGTATTGATCAATTATGCTGACGTTTTCCTCCTCCTCCTCCTCCTTCTTTCTTCTTCTTCTTCTTCTTCTTCTTCTTCTTCTTCTTCTTCTTCTTCCTCCTCCTCCTCCTCCTCTTCCTCCTCCTCCTCCTCTTCCTCCTCCTCCTCTTCCTCCTCTTCCTCCTCCTCCTCTTCCTCCTCTCTCTCTCTCTCTCTCTCTCTCCCCCCTTTTGGTCTTTAAAAATACTATTTGTTATGTAGGATGGCCCTCTGGAAGGGTGAGGAGGAAGGATACTGGGAAAACTAGGGTGACATAAAAATGATTTGAATGAAAACTTACTTTAAAATCAAGAAGCCAAATACTGTAGAGGACTTGATTTGATTCTGGAAATAATAGAGAGCCACTGTAGTTCACTGAGTAGGACAGTGACATGATCAGACTTAGGCTTTAGGAATGTTCCTGTCTGCTATTTTGCATGTGTGGAATCTCTCATCAGAATGGATTATCAATACCCTTTGCACATTGGTGGTGCAGTAGAGTAGGTAGAGGAAAGGTGAAAATCAAAACTGAATTGGATAAAAGTACGATCAGGAGATGGCTAATCAGCCCAGACCTTCTAAGCATACTCAGCATATCCAACTGATACAATCACCATGTGCAGACATTCTATTACCGGTTCTGGTCCACTAAATGTGTGGCAAAGAGATGAATTTTTGATGGGCTTTTGAACCAGAACTTGGGGTGTGTTCAAAAGGCACAAAGCAGCCAACATGCGTCTCTTTTCTTTCCTGCCTGGATGTATCTGAGTGAGAGACACACTCTGAGGCTCTGGATGAGGAGGGAGTCTGTACCCTCACCACCCAGGGCTGACATATAGCCTGTATTCCTTGCGCTTTTTCTTCCTGCTGAAGGTATTGGAGACAGTGTTCAGTTTCTGAATGGTGAGCTGCCAGGGGGCCAGGAGATAGAATCCATGAAGGCATTTGCAACCAATGACTTCTGTGACACAGCACAGATCAAGGGCTGCCAAGAGAGAGTGATGGCCATTTATCCCTTGTCTATGCTGCATTTGGAAGTGAATGTGGTAAGATGAATGTGCATAGAATGCCCATGGAAGCCACATTAAGTGGCTTTTGAACCCACTCTCTTCGGGGACCAATACCACCAAAAGGTGAGAATGTGCCCCTAGGTGTAGGAGTAAGTGTCTGTAATACGTTTTTGCTATATCTCCTCAGTAAATATCCTTTAATAAAAGCTAATTGATGTTAATTAGTCAAATTAAGAGGCTGCTAGGTGGCTCAGTGGATAGAGCCCTGGGCAGGGAGTCAGGAAGACCTGAGTTTAAATTTGGTTTCAGACACTTACTGGCTGGGTGACCCTGGGCAAATCACTTAACCTCTGTTTGCCTTAACCTCCTGGAGCAGGAAATGGCAAACCACGCTAGTATCTTTGCCAAGAAAACCCTATGGACAGTATTAGTGTGTTATGGTCCACTGGGTCATGAAGAATTGGATGTGACTGAATGACTGAATTGACACAGATTAAATTGGGGTGCTAGTTGCTGGTTGCTGACGCTGGGGAGAATAAACTGAAATGTGGGTTCAAGCTGATGGTGTTCGAGAATCACTCCCGGCCTCGCGGAGATACCCTTAGAACCCCGAGGGGGAGACGGAGCTTTGATCTGGGGCATCTGACTCTTCGGGGCAGCTTGAATTGGGACAAAGATCTTCAGAGGTAATAAGGGCTACAAAAGAATAAAGTGAGAAGACACCGTGACAGGCAATTACGGCAGCTCCAGCCTGACCTATTCGAGCAAACTGCTGATGCTGAAAAATGGGGACTTCGTGCAAGAGCAGGAGGCTGCGGCGGAAGGCCCGTAAAAGGACAGAGCAGGGAGCGGGCGGGCGGCTCCTGGCACAGTGGTGGGCGCCATTATCCACGCCGAGAATAGAAGCAGCACACACGCGCCCCAGGGGCCTCCGCTAGCCCACCCTTCCTCGCTTCCGCCCTCACATCCACCGCTGCCTGGCGCTTTGGGACAGGAGCTGGTTTGCAGCCTCAGCACAAGCTGGGGACGCAGGCTGGAGAGACGCCTGGCTTTTAAAGCCACTGAAGGGATTTATAGCTGGCAAATTACAAAAGCAGGTCTAATTAGCCCCAAGAGGCCCTTACATAAGCAGTGGGGAGCGAGATGCCGGGCGATTTGCTCCCTTCTCTAGGCTCTTCCAGGAGAGTCTGGTAATGAATGTTTCCTAACAGCGGGAGCACAGAGCCCCTGTGGCTAACAGCTCTCCAGAGTCCACGGTGATCCGGATTTGCAGCCAGGCCACATCACGGGATGTGCCCAGAGCCCCAGCAGTGCCCCCGATTGGCTTTGCGGTCTAAGCTAGAAGAGAGGTGGTTTTTAGAACAGTCTCCCTGGCAGCCCGGAAATGTCAGCAGCCCTTCTCACTGCCTGGTTTAGGACGTAATCACGTGCACCCACGGCAAGGTCTGTTTTCAAGGATAATTCATTGCTGAACACGCATGCTAGCTAACTCCAACTGTCCTTGCATAAATGATTGCTCGCTCCCATATTGCTGCTTGGTGTCTATTGGTTCAGGAACTTCAGGGGCTAAAGTCAAAGATCGCTAGGCTGAGAGGAAACTGCTGTTACCTTTTCTCTTCTTCCTCAGGCCTCCAGAAAGGGAAGGCTACCAGTGCCCAGTAACTTACTAACTCTCTGTCTCTCTCCTTCCCCTCCCCTCCCCTCCCTCCCCTTTCCTCTCTTCTCTTCTCTCTCTCCCTCTCCCTCTCCTTCTCCCTCTTCTTTCCTGCTTCTCCTCTCCTCCCCTCTCTGCCTCTCTCTTCCCCCTCCCTCTTTCTCCTCCCCTCTCACCCCCAGGGAGCTCTCTCTTGACTGGGGAGGGCTGTCAGCCCCGTGGTACTCACTGTCAGGACCAGGCTGCTCTGGGACTCCTCCAATGGCGGGGAAAGCAAATCCCAGAATTTTCATTTTGGAAGGAGTCTCAGTGCCTTGACTAGTCCTACCTGTCCCAGAAAGCAATATCCTTTCTGCAATATCCCTGGCAAGTGGTCAGGCAGCTTCTGCTGGGAGACCTCTGGTCACAGAAGACTCACTGCCTTTCAAGGTAGCACATTCCACTTGGGTTCATTTCCAATTGTTAGGAGATTTTTGGGGACCGGAGCTTCAATCTACATCTTTGCATATTCCCCTCCTTGTTCCTGATTCTTCCCTTGGGAGCCAAGCCAAACAAGAACATGGCAGTCTAGTTGCAGCTTGTTAGGGAGGTGGGGGTCGGGGGAGGAGTGAGGCCTCCTCCATCTGCTTCATCCTGGAACTATCTCAGCAACTGTAAGCTGGTCCAGACATCAGGAAGCTTTCTGGCTGGCTGTCCACAGGGCTTTGCACAGGCAGGCAGTTGTGCCTTTAAAAAATGCTTGGGTTCTGTTCTCCCTAATTGGACCATTATCCTGCATTTCCAAAGCTGTGGCATCTCTAATTTGCAGGATTTTTTTCTCCTTTTTTCTTAGATTAATTTTCCATTATTCAGTGCCTGACTCTCCTCCCCATCCTGCCTCCGTCCTTCTTTCTGACGTCTATGTTAATGGTATCACAGACAAAAGAGTACTATTGCTCTTAAAATGCCCCAGAATCTGGAGAACTAACACTTTTCAATTCACATTCTTTGCTTGGCAGCCCAACTTTGCCATTAATGAGTTTGATTGGCTTTGGAAAGTTTCAAAATTAACATGCAGCATAACAGACACCCAGGGGCAAGACCTTCTGCAGAGTAGAGAAGACAGGGAGGTAAAACAGATGGAGAGGAGGGAAACACATGCATTTCTGGAGAGGGGTGGCAGGGAGCATGCACCATGAGCCTTTACTCTCTTACAAATGATTTGGGGATGATTCTGTACCGGGACCTCTTTAAGCCTGGGGATTCTGGGAATCTGGGTCGGTGGGTACCTACTTGTCTTTTTTCCAATCTAGCATACTCAGTTCTGAGCCTACTAGGGTCTTTTGTCATGCTTTCTTGACTCTCAAGTGGAAATGGTGCCATGAGTCCCCATCTCTATTCTGGCCCCATCAAACCCTTTTTGGATGGAGGCAGGGCAGTTTTATTAGAGAACCCCAGGGATCTGTGATCTCAAAGATGTGGGCACTCCTACCAGAATGGCAGATGGCATCTTAGGCAGAATAGCAGACAGATGGAGAGCCTCCATGACCTTGTGGTAGTCTGTAGGGGAAGGCTTTGAGCAGGGACCCAGGGAGGGATTTGTGGACTTGTGGTCTCCAGACAAGCTCTGCTCATCTCAGAAAGGCTGCTCCCCAGAATGTTGCTTGGCCACAGCCCCTCATGTATAGTCATTAAGATGTCAACAAGCCAGGAACATATCATATTCATGCTGATAAGCAAACATAAGCTAATTTAAGGATGGGAAACACACTAACTGACTGGAGGAAGTGGTAACAGAGCTGAGCCTGGAAGGAAGATGAGTGTGCTAAGAGATGGAACCAAGGAGAAGAGAGTGGTTCAAGCTGGGAAGTCAATCTGACCACAGACGTGGATGTGGAGGAATGGAAGATGTGATTCTAAGAATGACTTACTAACTCCATGTTAGTAAGTGGTAGCTTGATGACCCCACAATGCCAAGAGTGCTGAACCTGGAGTCAGGAAGACCTGAGTTCAACTCTGAACTCAGAAACATAATAGCTGTATGATCCTAGACAAGTCACTTAACAGTTGCCTGCCTCAGTTTCCTCATCTGTAAAATGGGGTTAATAACAGCATCTGCCCCCCAGGATGGTTGTGAGGATCAAATAGAATAATATTTGTAAAGTGCTCTATAAATGCTAGCTATTATTAGGACCACCATCAGAGGAGAGAGAGGGGCATATTCAAGAGATGCTACAGAGATGAAATGGACAAGAGGTGAGATGCTGTGGAGGTGAAATGGACAAGAGGTGAGATGCTGCACAGGTGAAATGGACAAGAGGTGCGATGCTGCACAGGTGAAATGGACAAGAGGTGGGATGCTGCACAGGTGAAATGGACAAGAGGTGAGATGCTGCAGAGGTGAAGTTGACAAGGCTTAACAACAGTTTGGACATGAGGGGGTTCAGTGAGAGAGAGATTGAGAAGTCCATTATAACACTCAGGTTGCGAGCCCGGAGGACTGGGAGGATGGGGTGCCCTCGACAGTAATAGGGAAGTTCAGGTCTGCTTTCTGCAGGGCCCTGTGTCAGGGAAGTGTAGTATCCCACTCCATCCCTTCACTGGGACATCAGTTTTAATTCCCCAAAGAAGGCCATACAAAGATTCTGTGTGGATGGCCAATTCTGCCCTGGACAGGGAATGTTTTCAGAAACTTTCAGGTCCCAGAATCTTAGATCTTACTCTTTTAATGACTCCCCAAGAGATCATCTGGTTCAGTCCCCACTCCTAGGGAAGTTATCACTAGCCTCATTTTACAGATGAGGTGACTAAAGCCTAGAGAAGACAAGTGACTTATCCTCTAGTGTCCTTTAGCTTGTGGCTCTGTGTGTGTGTGTGTGTGTGTGTGTGTGTGTGTGTGTGTGTGTGTGTGCTATCTCCCAGGTCAGGGTTTTTTTTTCCTCCTCCCTGTTGATTTGGGGCTCAGGAGATGGGCTTTGGCAGCTTTGAGGGCACTTTCTCCTTCGTCTATGAGACAATCCACAGCCAGTTCTGGGTCCAGGAAGCTGCCAAAGCAGGACCTTCTGTGCTTAGTGGGGTGGCTGAGCCAGTTGGGGAGAATCTCAAGGCTATGGTCAGGGGGTAAGCGTGGCTGTCCATCCTGGACGTGGGTCCCCACTAGCTTATGAGGAGGGGGCCCCCCACACTCCAAGGGAAGGTTTGGCTCATGAGCTCTGTAAAGAGGCTGGGTCGGATTTGGCTGCCTTTAGAGGAAGTGCTGATTGGTGGTAGCAGTGTGGGTCAGAGAGTGTCAGAGCAGTCAGAAGCCCTGGGTTTGACTCCTGCCTCTGTGACCTGGGCTGAGCCTCTTCCCTTGTCTGGGCCTTCTCTCCCTCTTCTAGAATGAAGGACCTGGTCTGCGTAACCTCCAAGCCTCTGCCTCCCTACCCCCAGTTCCTCGGTCTTCACACTCCTTCATGAAAGAACACCAGTTTTTAGACTCTGAAATAGTCCCTGTTGTTTGGAAGCCTCTCAGATATTTTAGCAGCCTGTTAATCAGCCCTTACTGGAGCCAACAGTGAGAAATGAACCATGGCTTCTGTTAAAATACCAAGAAGTGGGTACCATGGAGGCCTGGAGTAGTGAACCTCAGGCAGGGTTGTGGAGGCCACCAGGAACAGAGGGAAGCAGGCCCAGGCCTGGGACACTGAGGGCAAGGTGGCTGTGCTCCAGCACAGGCTGAGTTTGGAAGCTGTGTCCCCTGTAAAGATTGCACCTGTCAATATCCTGGAGTGGGAGGGGGGCCCTCTCCTGGCAGAATCACAAAGTAAACGCCTCCTTGGGATGCAGAGGCCAATTTTCTGCATTGAAGGAACCCCATTCCAGGTGTCCCTCATCCCACCAGGCAAGGGCTTGTGCTTCACCTTATCCTGGGTCCAGATCACATGTGCATGAGTGGATGGTGGGGGAGCACGGCAATGACAAAGAATTAGCATTGGTGGCACTGAACTGTCAGATCTAAGGCCCTCATTGGTCTCCTGAGTGTTGCCCTGACCTTCAACATTAAGCTCCCAGACCCCAGCTGACCTTCGCTCTTTTGGTCCTTTGTTTGCCTCAACCCTATCTCCCTGAGCTGCCCCCTCCAAGCCTGGACCTCTGCCTCTTGGTGAGTTCTTGGCTCTGCCCTCCTCCTCTGAGGGCTCAGAGTCCTGGGTCCTGGCACGCCTGGGCATGGTCCCTGGCCAGGTGTGGGGCTCAGGCGGCTGGCTGAGCTTCTCTGTGGCTCAGTGGTCACAGCTCCCAAGCCAAGCCAACATCTGCTGGTTCCCATGGAGACAAAGTTGGGAGAAGAAGACCCTGCTATGAGTGAGGGAATGACTGTGTTTGTATGTGTAGGTGTGTATGCATGTGTCAGTGCATGTATGTATGAATATGTATGCATATGTGTACACATGCATTTCTGCATTATTGTGGAAATATATGTGTGCATATGCCCATATGGGTGTATGTGTGTGAATGTGTGTGTATTGTGAGCGTGTGTACATGTATAGAATGCTTGGAAAACACCCACACAAAGGACAGGAGATATGACCATACAATCCTGGAAGCATCAGCAAAGGCTGCTCAGGGTGAGCCCCTGTCTGGTACAAATGGACCTTCTGGGGCATGCTCGGCAACCTCTGCTTGGATGCTTCACGTGCAGGGTCAGAGGTGGATGCCTAGCTTACCACTAGCTCTTAGATCTTGGCCTTACTCCTCCTCTTCTCATCTTCTTCCTTCCCTCCCCTCCTTCCCTCCCCTCCTTCCCTCCCCTCCTTCCCTCCCTCCCTCC